CTGCTCCCTCTCCTCCAAAGCAGACATATTCAAGAAATTGATGTGCGAAGTTCTCACCCATAAATAAATAAATACACAAAATAAAAACACAAATAAACAAAAATAATACTGATCATGATACATGGGTTTTGGGAACTGATCTTATAGATGTATTAAAGGTCCTCAAAATTACACAGAATTGACTCTTGTGAGCTTTAAGTTATGTTATAATGCTCCTCAAAAACATATCTGGAGTTGTGTTTTGTTTCATTCACATTCACATATTCACATATTTGAGGAATCTTTTATTATTACACTCTCTGCATCTCCAAAGCTCAAAATGCTCTGTTCCACCTCGTGACATCACGAAGCGGAAGTTTTCAAGTTAACAGCTACCTTTGACCTTTAGTAGAGATTAGCAATTCCAGAGCTGAAATCATCCAAATAATTCTAATGAAAATGTATGGAGTTTAAAAATACAGTGGAGCACTTCCTGTGAGTGTTTCCTGTTTGAGAGAACTCAGCCTAAGTATGCAGGGTCTATGTGTCAAATATGTGTGAATGAAATAAAACATAACTCTGAGTCTGTTTGTGATGAGGAAACAACATTATACCATAGATCAGAAAATATATTTTTGATTTTTAGAAACAAAAATCAGCAATATTTAGCCATATGTGGTTATCTTTGCTGAAGGCTGGTGAACACAGTAATTTAGACTTACCCATAAGCAGAACATTTCAAGTTTTTTTATTCATCAGAACCAATGATTACTGGAATTTGATTTGGCTGCCTCAAAGGTCCACTTTGTAACTTTCCTGGAGGAGGGTCCATCAAATGCTTTTCTCAGAGAAGATGTTATTGCTCTGTCTGAAAGATTTCACAGTATGGTATTAAACTTTTCTATCTTCATAAAGACCAAACCAGGCCAAGTTACAGGTCAGATCTGTGGAGAGGTGACCCCACTCACTCTCAGAATACCTGTTTTCGAGATATTTTTAGCTGAAAAACCACCTGTAATTGGTAGCGCTGTTTAATGTCGTACTGTGGAACATTCGAAGCAAATCAATGACATAATCATAGAAACAAGCAGGTGGCAGACCTCCAACCAAAAAGTTACATAATGCAGCTTTAAATCTCCACTTTGGAATACTGAAAACTGCTCAAAGATGTTCGCATTTCTGAGGCCGGTGGAGGATTTGGCCCACAGGTTTCGGGCATGTCTCAGGAGGCACTTTTGCAGGGGAACATCATGTATTATTCAGGAAGAGAAGTGGACAGGCTCCTGCAGAGAGAGGTGCAGCTGGCCCTATCACTGCTCCCTCATCCAAACATCCTGCTATCTCCCGTTCATCTATCACACCGGTGTAACGGTCAAGTGAGCACGCAGACAGACTGGGGTGGGGATGGGTGGTCCTAAGATCAATAGTGTATAATGTTGAAATAAAGGCTTCACTGTTTTAAAGGGACCTTATTATGCTATCTATATCTCTGTTATAATGTTGTCTCCTCGTCACAAACAGGCCTGGAGTTGTGTTTTGTTTCATTCACACATTTAACACACAAATCCTGCATATTTAGGCTGAGTTCTTCTCTCAAACAGAAAACACTCTGTTCCACCTTGTGATGTCATGTGGTAATACAAGAAGTGCTCCATTGTGTTTTTTTATGTATCTCCATACACCTTCACTAGAATCATGTGGATAATTTCAGTTCTGGAATTGCTTCTCTGTACAAACAAAAGGTAAAAGGCAGCTGTTAACTTGAAAACATGACATCACAAGGTGGAACAGAGCATTTTGAGCTTTGGAGATGCACAGACTAATAATAAAGCATACAACACAACTCCAGGTATGTTTTTGAAGAAGTAACAACATTCTAAAAGCTGCCACACTCTACAGGATTTTTCAGTCTCAAACGATTTTTTAAAGTGCAACAAAAAGTGCACACTATACAGACACATAGAGAATCTTAGGAGATTTTAAATCTCTAATCCCTTTTTCCTGTTTGGAGTAAAACCACTCACTTTGAGACTCAAAAAGATCAGAGCACTGCACTTTTAGTTTAGATACAAGTCAAAACTGTGTTATTATTACTTTAGATACATGATTTTTAATGTACAGAATGTTGTTGATAAAGTGCCCAGGAAGTAGTGTATTGCTAATCTGCAGCTTCACCCTGATCCGTGCGCTGTGTGCATGTAAACAGACACATGAGGAGCTACTCTCACCTTTTTACTTTTACAGAAAGCTTCATATGGGATTAAAAACAATGTTATGTGGACTTGATGACATTATTTGCAGAGGACAAATTCTACGGATAATATGGATGAGATGCTGCAATTTAAATTTACAACTTCTCGAGAGGTGAGTAATAATTATTTTCACTATTTACTAAGTTTGTATCTTGCTCACGCTGTCTGCCCCTGACGCTCTTTTTTTATTGGCTGCTACTGTAGCGTAGCTGATGTTTGGTGGTTACGATCTGACAGAGCAGCTTAGAGTCACACACACACTCACACGAGGAGCACAGTGGCTTTAAAATCACAGATGAAGACACAAAGTTGGGTCACGCCTCCCTGAACTGAGGGAGAAACAAATCACAGCCAAAACTGAGCAAATTCTCCTGTAGTGTGCGATGACCTTCACATGGTTAAAAGCTCATGAGTCCGTTTTGCGTAATATAGGAGCTTGAATGCATGTGTCTGTAAGCACGATTGTGTCATCCTTTGGGTTCTGTTTTGTATTGATATGTTGCAGCTGATGTGATCAACATTCCCAAGAGTTGTGATGCTAACTGTAAGCACTGCTCTGTCTGAGGATTTGTTAGACTTTAATCAGATTTTTTTTTATTTTAACACAAACTAACATGAAAGAACTCTGCTGGACTGCTGGACCTATATTAGGTGAGATAATGAGAACAATGTAATATGGTAAAGCTCATAAAAAGTCAATTTAAAAGTAAAATCTTTGAAACCCATAAAAGACCAACCCCATAAAAATACACAAAACCTCTGGAGTAAAATCATCTGTAACATAATAACAATCTTTTATGTGACAATAGAACTCTGAGTGCAAGTGCAAAAGTTCAGAACTGAATACCTGGAGGAGGATTAGCCTGGAGCCAAGCCACGGGCCAGGAGAGGTCAAAGTTCACACATAAGAGACAGCACCACAGTGTCTCTCTCTATTCCTCTGTCTGTTAAGACGTTAGAAGATATTTTTACATCAAACAGCCCCCAAGGCAGCAGTTTGAAAGGTATTTTTCAAGTTTGAGAAATGTAACATACACTTATTCACATATTTGTCTGTTTTGTGTTTTTTACACCACACTCCAAGGTGCATTATGTAACTTTTCTCTTGCGGGTGCTTTCCTGTTCCTCGAATATTTCACATTATGACATTAAACTCAACTATGTGCAGGGGTTACCTCTCCACAGATCTGACCATTAACTTGGTGGCATATGCTGGCTTCATGGATACATAGATAAGTTTAATGCCATACTGTGGAACATTCCAGGCAAAGCAATAACTATAGAGACAAGCAGGAAAGCTACAGGAAAAGGAAAGTGCACCTTTAATGGCAGAATCATAAAAACAGATACATAAGTTATCAAAGTAAATAGTAGCGATTTGAATAGTGAAGTCCATCATATTTTAGCCTTAATATAACTGAGATTCATTCAGACTTCATTATATACTTTCCACTTTAGTCTTATCAATTATTAAATTACATTTGCCTAAAACCTCCTCTTTTATAGTCTCAGAGGAATTGCTGTCTGCTCCTCCAATACTTCTCTTAAATGCAGTTAAAGAAAACCTCAAATGTCACTCTAATTAAGCTGTTCATTTACCTGCCACACAGTTCAAGTGAGCAAATGCCTTAATATGTGCCTCTGCTTTTTAACCACTGAACTCTACTTTTGACAGTACGCAAAGGAAAACCACAGCACTAGAGAGAGCTGCTCAAATGGATGATTCTTGTAGTCTACATAATGCCGACATATTCATATTTACATTAACATTTCAACTGTGCAGACGACATGGCAGGGGCAGAGTGGTTAGCGTTTCACACCTCACAGCAATTTGGGAATCTTTGAGGCGAATCAGGATGTTCTGTCTCTCACAGCTCTGCTTGTTTGAGTGGGTGTGGACACAGGCTCTCACTGTACCACACTAGTACACTAAAGGACATGCATCTTCTGAACAGGTGAGTGAACAGTTTTCTTGCACAGTGTCACTACAACAAATCTGAGTGTTCATTATTGTGAGAAGAAACAGAATGTTTTCAAAATGATTCACAAGTATTGGCACTATAAAGAAGCATAAATTAAATATTTAATTTAGTTAATTCTCACTGTCTAATGCATTAAGCTCTTCCTCTAATATGTGATCTTGTCATCTTTATAAAATCAAACATTCTGGATGGAATGTAATGCTAATATGGCACAGACACATAAAAAGCATTTTATTTGGTTTATTTGAAGTGCATGGCTTGAAAATATGCTTTTATGTGTGCTTATAATTAATCGTGACCTGGAAAATCACTTTTAGGCAAACAATTACTAATCTTGACATCCCAATCTGCCAGAAACCCCAAAACAGTACAGATTAATAGATGAGATCAAACCTGGATATTAAATCTCTTGAAACCCCTCACTCATTTTACGCTTATTTTTCTACGTGGTCGCCTTCATTTGCCCGTCTAATCACTCTAAAATCTGGCAACAAATTCATGTGTTTGCGAGCGCGCCTGGGGTGATATGTTTCTCTATCCCAAACACCGTTACGCACAAGCAATTGTCAAACTCAGCCAAACTCACCTCTCTAAACCACAGTATTGTCACGTCTGCTTCACTTTACAAGCTACATGTCTACTGTACAATACTTCTCTGTACTCTGTTGCACCGATAAAGCACTTTCACTGAAGGACTGCATTCATAGATCGTTCTTTCCTTTCGCTGTTTCAACTAGAACTGTAAATGGATAGTACTCGGAGCACAAACGCACTTTTACGCACTTACCGGCACGACACTGTAACTTCTATTTTAGTTGCAGGGACTCTGGTGTTGAGAGGATCAAATTCCCCTATTGAAGCCATCATCTCGACCCACGACGCGCGCAGAGCATCCACGGACACACGCACTTCACGGCGAGGAAAGCGGAGTGGGGGAAAGGAGCGGTTGAACGTAGATGCGGTAGCGTGTTTAGCGATCGGTGACGCGCGCTCGCTGTAGATCCATCCGCGGTGTGCAGCTGGTGGGGTCCTCGGCTCTGGAGCGGCGGAGGAGGGAGCGGCAGAGATACGCGCGGGCAGAGGGGAGAGAAAGTTGTGATTTAAAGTTCATTCATCCTCCGTGCGTCCGCGCTGTCCGCCCAGTGTTCCAGAGAAGGAGGAGGAGGAGGTGGTGGTGGAGGAAGAGGAGGAGGAGGTGAGCAGAGCCACTGGGAGATGGTATACACACGCACACAGGCGCAAGGAACCAGAGGTGGCTGGCTTATTACAGGTAGAAGCTTTGATTTAGGAGAAGCGTGTCGCAGGTTGCAAAGGAGAGAGTTTGGATCACGAAAGGCACAATTACGCACACTTTTTGGTGACGCTTGTTTTAGAAGTATTAAGCCAGGCCTCCAGTAAAACTAGCTGGCTCTTTTTGGTCTATACATTAACTAAATATGGATGAGAGGAACCAGAATTTTGAGAGATTAGTCCAGAGAGAACGAAGAGATTTTGATATGTGGTCTATACAATTTTGACCTCACATTTTTTGCATTTCTTTTATTTTCTATTTTTACCATTATTGTATCCCTTACATCATCTATTTAGCATATATTTAATCATAATTATTCTTTGTTTTATATTATCTTCAGGCCCGTATAAGTCTTGTCTAATTGTTTATGGCAATTTCATTCACATGAGATAAACTTAAAACAAAAGAAGAGTGATGGTTGTAAGAATATATTATCATCAATAAGCAAGTTAAACCTTATAATGTGTGACCTATGAACTGTAAATCCATTCTAATCATTTCGCTTGGCAGTGGTATATGAAGGTCATTCTAGTCAACAACAGTCTCTTGTCTATAAATCTTTGATGATAATTGACAAATGGGGTTAATTCTTTAATCAATTCCATTTGTGTCTCATAACCCAATAAAAAGAGAGCTCCTTATGACTCATCGGCCCAAGAAGAGTCTCACGTATTAGATTTGATTTATTATTACAGTTACAAATAAAACAAAATGGCGTCGTATTCTGATTTATAGTTTCTGTTTTGGCTCTCTTTTCTTGAACAGCAACGTTTGTTCATGCCTGGGTTGCTCAATGGTTAGTTAGTTCTTTGGTCAACTGGAATAATCATTTCCCATGTTATAATGATTCATGAATAACACAAAAATGACCTTTAACACTTCAGTTTTTCTGCAGAGCGAAGGGGTTTTAGCAGAAGTGTAAAGGTGCACGATGTAACTTTTTGGTTGGGGGTCCGTCACCTGCTTGTTTCTATGGCGATGTCATTGCTCTGCCTGGAATGTTCGACAGTATGACTTAATAAACAGCTCTACTTTATGTTTATTAAATTACTTGTGGGTTTATAGCTCAAAAATACTTAGAAAAACAGGCATTCTGACTGTGAGCGGGTTAGGCTCTCCACAGATCTGACCTGCAACTTGTTATGGTTTGGTGTCTGTGAAGATAGAAAGCAATAACATCTTCATGGAGAAAAGCATTTGACAGACTCTCCACCAGAAAAGTTACACAATGCACCTTTAACACTTATTTTGCCCAACCCTCTGAACATATAGAACTCAATACAAGATGAAAGAAAATCTATTTACAGAAAAAAATAAAATAAAAATCCTCTACAATATTATAAGTGAAGGAAAGATCTACCTAAGTATATCTTAATGGTGAATGGGTTGAAAAGAACAAAATCCTTTCAGTGCTAATTATGATACAAAATTCAAGATTTTATTATCATTGTTATAGAAAAACAAAACAGAAAAATAACATTTAGAGCATCAAACACTGCATAGTTTTGATGTTATGTGCAATAAGAACCAAGACCCCATCCAATAACCCCATAAATAACCCCAGAGTAAACATGAGCACATATGTAATAAACAGTAACAGTGACAGCAGCAGCATGAAGGGCAGATCAGCAATAAAGTGCATCACAGGGACAGACAGTCAGATATGTGGAGTTTAAAGGTCATATATTAATCTAAATAGACTCTTGTGAGCTTACGTCATGTTATTATGCTGTCCCCTCATCAAAAACAGACCTGGAGATGTGTTTTGTTTCGTTCACAGATGTTTGAGTAATCTATTATTAGTCTGTCTACATCTCGAAAGTTCACAATGCTCTGAGTGATGTCATGAAGCAGTAGTTTTCAAATTAACATCTATATTTTACCTTTTGTTTAGTAGTGATTAGTAATTCCAGGGTTGAAATTATCTACATGATTCTAGTGAAGGTGTATGGAGTTTAAAACACATTGGAGCGATTCCTGTATTACCACATGACATCACAAGATGGAACATGGTGTTTTCAGTTGCAGCGAAGAACTAATGTGCAGGGTTTGTGTGTTAAATTGTGTGTAAATGAAACAAAAGAAAACACAACACAACACAACACGTATGTTTGTGATGAGGAAACAACATTATAACAAAAGTATAAAAATAAGCATAATACAGACCCTTTATTGTCCATCCATCTAATTTCTTCTGCTTATCTGGGGCTGGATCGCAGGGACAGCAGCCTAAGCAGGGACTCCCAGACTTCCTTCACCCCAGACACTTCCTCCAGCTTCTCCAGGGTGACCCTGAGGCGTTCCCAGGCCAGCTGAGAGACACAGTCCCTCCAGCGTGTCCTGAATCTTCCCTTTATTGTCATTACATAATAAAAATGAAACATGAATTTTATATGTTGTAGCTCTTTCAAAAGGAACTCAAAGATGATTTATAACTGAGCATGAACAGAGAACAAAGAATTACATAAAGGAGCACTGCTCAGTATTTCTGGGGGAGGGTTTGCCACCTGCTTGTCTCCATGGAGATGATTGCTTAGCCTGGAATGTTCCTTGCTATGACATTAAACATATCCCTCTAGCATTTATTAATTCTGGGTGATTCAGTCGCTCAAAAACACAATAATTCCTTCTCTGAATAGGGGTGACTCTCCATAGACCTGACCTGTAATGTAGTGTAGTGCTGTAACCTGCTTGTCTCTTTGCGATAGATCACAGGTTTAATCTATACTGTGGAACATTCCAGACAAAACAAAAACATTTCCATGGAGACAAGCAGGTGGCGGACCCTCCACCAGAAATGTTATACAGTGCTTTGTATCACATGCCCCTCTATAGTCTAAGAAGTACATAGGAAATACTTTACATATACTGTAGTAGGACTAAGTGACAGTATCTTTCCCAGGGCTGTTACTCTCTAAATTTGCACTTAATGCCCTTTAACCTGCACTAATGTGTATGCTAATGTTATAAACACTATAGTCGCTCGCTCTTATGTGCATAGTAACTGTCAACTGTTACATAATATTCCTGTTGTACGTGTATTTTTATCTAGGCTTGCTTGTAAGCCTGTCATTTTGAAGCTTGACATATAGATAAGTGTTGTGATAAACAATGATATTAAAACTACTAAATGCCACTGATTAAGATTGGAAATAAAGGAAGCATAATCTCTGTACATCCTTTTTAAATAGAAAGTATCATTAGAGTCCATATTATGCTATTTTCTGATCCATGTTATAATGTTTCCTCATTAAAAACAGGTCTGGAGTTGTGTTGTGTTTCAGTCACATGTTTAACACACAAACTCTGAGTTCTTCTCTCAAATGGAAAACACTGCGCTTGAGGCTAGGTTTATATAATGATGGTCTGAACAGAAGACCCAAAAGTGGCGTCGCATCTTCACTTTTTATTCTGCGTTTAGATTAGCGTTTTTGGGAGAAAATCGACGTGCAAACGGTGACACAAAAGTGTGTGGAATTTAATTGGGTATGCATGCCATCCGACATATTTGTTTCTGTGTACTGTATGTATGTGACGTAAACGCGTACGTGACTTGAGCAAATCTGATCAGAGTTTTGAGTCTTGGGCAGTGTAGATGGAAACGCTACGGCGGAGTGTATTTAACTTTTCCACTCTGCAGGGTGGTTTCCGTTTTTTACATTTTTAAGCCCCAAAAACACCGTCACCATCTAAAGAAAGGCACTTCTGAAAAAATAGTTTGTCGCTTTTACCCACAAACAACAAACACCTTCACTAGAATCATTTGGAAAATTTTATCGCTGGATTTGCCCATCTCTACTAAACATTGTTAACATAAAAAATTACCACTTCATGACATCACAAGGTGGAACAGAGCATTTTGAGCTCTGGAGATATAGACAGACTAATAATAAAGGGTAACTCAAACTTGCATGAATGAAACAAAACAAAACACAACTCCAGGTATGTTTTTAATTTGTGTATCATTCGTTCATTCGTATAATATAATTTTTTTTTTTCTTCCAAAATGGAAAAAATGGATAACGACCGTTTCCTGTTTTCATGACTTAAACTGCGATGCCGGACTGAACCAGGACTAAAACAGGTCTCAGTCCTGGTCTCAGTCCCGGACTGGTCCAGGTTTCCTGATCACATCTGGGCCAGTCCCGGCACTCCTGATTTAGTCCTGGTTTAGTCCTGGTTTAGTCCTGGTTTAGTCCTGGTTTACCGGACCAGGACCAGGACTGAGACTGGTTTAGAGCTGGTTTAGACCTGTTTCAGTTCTGGTTCAGTCCGGCATCGCAGTTTAAGTCATGAAAACAGGAAACGGTCGTTATCCATTTTTTCCATTATTCATTTAAACATAATTGAAAAATGAAAAAACAAATCATTATTCATTTTTTCATTTTGGTTTTGGAGACAAATAATGAAGAAAACAGTTCTTTTCATTTTCTTAGTTTTGGTTTTATATTGAAAAACAAATGAATGAATGTTACACAGATTGTTTTTGATTAAGTAACATCTTTATCACGGTTTAAAGTTCACAGGAGTCAATGTTGCGTAAAACAGGACCTTCAAAGTTGAATCTAATCTCATA